GCTATTTACAAAATAAACTCAAATACTCGGGGTGCGTGGCGACCGAATAAATTAACGGAATGGCGTATAATTGAATTGAAATTTCTGTCATAATATTCGGACGTGATTCAATCTGCATGCATCAGATACGCAACATTGCGTTTAAAAGGAACATTTGAGTTTGGTGGCGCGGAAATTCGTAATCAAGTATTAGCAAACTTTGCATCCATTAACAATAGCCATTTTTATGTCATCCCGAATACGCGTATGAGTGGCAATTATCGGTGATTGGAGTACGACGCACAAAATGGATGAACCCGGCGCAGCACGCGCGACAAATTTTAATGTCTGTAAATTGGCAAAATCACGTTTTTTTTTTCGCAATATATTCGAGTGACTCAATATGCGAAGAGAATTTGTGATCGCGAATCTGTATTGTTTAATTAATATCCATTGAAAGATATTTCAACTGTAATAATGTATATTGAACGCATTTCACGTAAATAGCATTTGTTTTATTTCATATATCTTATATTTGAAAAGATTATTTATTTTATTCAATATTCAGATTATATATATACGAAAATATAAAACTACAATCGTGATCGGCAAGCCATGATGTTGTTAAGTACAGCTGCAAATTTCAGATAACGTTGCGATAGTTTGGCGCCGTGAAGTCAAGTAGTTTCACGTATTCCGATAATTAATTTCACTCGGCGATCACCGCGCGCGGCCAACGGTGGTGCGCGATAATCAACGAGACCCGTAACGCCAACCAGATCGTATCGTTAGCTTCGCCAACTAGGCAAGCCTAATCGTCTTTTACGGCTGTCAGCGGCGGTCGAGCCGCGCGACAAGCGCAATGGATATTCGCGTGCGCGCAACAATCGCCAACGGGGGAGCCAATGCGCGCTTAGACATAGGTGCAAATATGCGCCGTAAAAGCGGGGCCCGTAGGCTTCGACGGCCGCTAAACATGGGCGTTGACGTGTCTCGGTGTTGCGACCGCCTATCGATATTCCCCGTTGGCCGTTCAATAATAATTTATACGCGTACAACGGACGGTGCGTATGTTCAGTTTGCGCGGTGCAAAATCGCCTTGACAATTGCCTGCGTACCTCTTGTGTGTTCGACCAGCCGACTAACTCAGAATTGGAGAGCCAATTTGCGCTTATTGAGAACTCGTTTTGTTCGCAATTCTCTCAAAAAGAACCAATGCGATCGCGTTAACTTCGCAAAACTTTTAGAAACGATGGACGTTTTTCGCGACGCGCGACTTGCGCGCGGCTTTATGCACTCCTCCCACCCGCATTTTCTGCCAGGATTATATTTGTGCAATCGTCGCGATCGATTGCGTGGACAGTGCGGGTGTGCGTCGCGGCGATTAGTGCAAACTAGCTCGCCACGGTGCGGCGGCGGTGGTAATTTATGTCGACCGGGTCGCGTTTGTTGTAACGAGTTGCGCGTCGATTAATAATTCAAGCGCTCGGTGATTCTGTCGCAAAAAGAGAGAGAGAGAGAGAGAGAGAGAGAGAGAGAGAGAGAGAGAGAGAGAGAGTATGTGTACCTGCATACCGGGACTTCATAATATTTTGCGTAATTATCGCGACATGCATAATTAATCGGCATGTTTTACGCAAGCCAGAGGGCTTTCTTTCGACGGCTGCTCGTTAATTCGGCTTAAAGGGACGAATGGCAAATTTACGGGATTGTTTTTCGATTCTCTCTCGCGTGCTCACGGCAATTAGAGAAGGCGCAACAGATACCGGTACGGGGGTTTGCGGACACGTCGTCGCAATAGAAATTCCACCTCCGCCGAGAGGACGTGACTGTAACGTAAACCGCCGTAAATTATCGGTCGATACGCCGCGGAATTAATCGAATCCCGCGAATATACGACGTAACATACCGCATATATTTCCCGTTTGGTCCATGCGACGCGTTCCAATTAAAAGAAAAGACGCGTCCGAGCTGTAGCTTCCTGGTGACCGCCATTAAACCAACCGCACGTTACCAATGCGATATGTTTATTTGCCAATTAGCCACATTCAACTGTTAGAGCAGCAAATCCTCTCCAGCTGGAGTAATAGCGAATAATGAACGCGCAATAGAATCAGCAGTATTCTCATATGTGTACATTCCAAAGTAAGATCTCAATAACGGTTCATGCGGAACTAATTAATTTAGTCATGCACCAAAGAGGAGGAACGTCGTAATACTTCTTTTTTTTTTTTTTTTTTTTTTTATTGATTCGTAAATCTCATTTCAATAAAGGAAATTCAATAATTCCAATAATTTTGATTACTGAGTCATATAAAACACTCCAACATTAGAATCCAATAGCGAACGGAAGTCGCAGTTATTAAATTAAATTTGCCGATCGACAGAGAGATATCGGCGAATCCCGACTGAAGAATGAAATATCGCACAGGTGCAACTAACATATGCGCCATGACACCCAATTATTTCATTCCAGCTGAGAGAGCGCGTTACTCGATCTATGGATGTCGTATTTATCATTGTTCGAGCACACTCTGTGCTTTCGGTGAATAAATCCGTTCCGAAAAGAATCAGCGGAAATTGCGATTGTTAATCCCCTCGTGATCTTAACGAGATAAATTTGTCTCCAAACGCATTCGAAACGATGAATAGTTATGTCATCCGACCTTATAATAAAGACAAAATGTTTAACGTCTGGTTCGGCTCTCAAATCTCTTTTCGGCCATAAAGGGTTAACGAAGTCGACGACAAAATATCCTGTCCCGTCGTCGGCCGTCGAACAAATCACTCCTTATATAGCTGATCAAAGTTTGTGGGCATGCGAGAGAGAAAGAAAGAAAGAGAGCAGACGAGAAAAAGAGGAGAAGGAGAGATCCAATAAGACAAAAATGACGCGACAAAGAAAGAGAAGAAGGGGAGGTGGCGGAGGAGGCGAGAACGCCATGAGGCCCCATGCCGAGTCGAGTCACGGCCGGATCTCTTTCGCTTTGAGATCCTTCGACGACACACACACGAGACCCGACTTCTTCGTCTTCTTCTTCTTCTTCTTCTTCTTCTTCGTCTTCTTCTTCTTTGCCTTTGTGAGTCTGGCGCCGTGATTTTTCACGGTCTGCGTCGAGGGCTAATCGAAATAGTGAGCGCCACCACGGCCCGACTATATTTAGCCCTTTTACCGCGCCTCTTTTCCCTCCTCAGTCGTCACTTTGCCCGGCGTTTTATCCTGCCGAAACATGGGAACATACCTGTCTCGTGACACCAACGATGACGACACAGCAATGTAGTGTAAACAATCTCTACTCTATTAGACGGTAATACGTACGCTCTAGTTGCGACAAAGTTTGATTCACTACACAGATGAAATTTCTCGTAGAATATTCATTGTGTCAGTCTCCTCTGTGTATTATCTTACACCGTGTATATATATTCATGAAACCACTTCAAATGTTACCTTATTTAATATATATCTATTAATATATATATATATTATTTAATATATATATTATGCAATTTCCTTATATTCAAATAAGTCTGCAATCGAAACAGCGAGAGAAGAACATATTTTTGTCACATAGTTATATTATAAAAGTGAGATAAGTTTCTTTCATAAAGTACCGAGCAAGGAGAAAAAAACTTCTTTCATATACATATATTACATCAAATATACGCACTATTGCTTTAAAATGCAATTACTCGCGCGAGTAAAAAAAAAAAATCCAGATAACAAGATATGCAAATGTAGATTTATTTTTCTCCTCCATTTTATATAAAAATTTTGCATTGTTTCATTCCGAGGTATGCGCCTCGGTCTTATAAGCTCGCTCTCGCCTTCTTCGAAACTTCCTGTCTTTTTTTTTTTTTTTTACCGATCACGCGGACCTTCGGGATACTTGTGCCATGACGACCGGCGCGCCGTCGGAGGTCCGGGTTCTAACACCTTCGTAACAAGAAACGGAATAATGCGAACCAATGTGTTGATCATGCTGCAGATTAGCACGCCCGCAGCTACGCTCTCGCATTAATCACTCGCGGTCACTGAGAGGTCTCGCTGTTTCCCGTCAGATAGCGATTGATGGCCGAAATAATGAGCGGCAAGTTCTCAATAAGTTTTGCGTCGCCGTCGCCGTCGTCGTCGTCGTCGTCGTCGTCGTCGTCGTCCTCTTTTCGTTTCCGCGCGATATCTCCTTTTGAGCACGATGCGTCCTTTCAACGCGCGTTGAACTGCTTATACGTTTCGCGAGAACTATGCATAATACTCTCCCGACAACGCGCCGCTGATATAAACCAACTCGGTGGAAACTCAATTTCCAAGTACTTAAGAAGGGAAACGGAACATACTTATGCAGTGTTAATATCTGGCTGGGCGTATCACGGCGCTGAATACGCACCACCTTCCAGTCCAGTCGTGCGCGATTCGCTTTCATAACTTGGTTATAATCTTATATATCGTATTAATATTTCCGTGTATCGCCGCCGCCGGCGATGTTCGCGCAAAATTGCAAAGAGAGATACGCCCCCGCGAGAGTCTGTCATTTCTCGCGCCCGCCGCCGCCGTACCTCCCACGTTTCGAGGATCGCGATTTGTTCCATTCCAATCAGAAACGTAAAACGTGTGACTAAACGCTGTATTAGACGTAGTAATCTGTCGGCGTTTTCAACGACGTAAAATATTAAAATAAACGACATTCGCATGTCTTGTGTACGATTTTATCTAGCGCAATGCATCAATCGCGATTCGCGGCACGTTCACATAAAAAATTCTCTTACACCGATGTATTTTTCGCAGACATTCATGATCGCGAGACACCGACTCGCGTGTGTGAATTTTTTAAAAATACATCTATCTCTCCTCGCGTAACGTCGTTAAGAATTAACAAGTTTTTCAGGATGACGTGCGCGCCAGTTTCGAACTAAACGGCCCATTCGTATTCGGCATCGCCCGGGATACGTCGCGACCGGGAGAGTCTCGCGCTCACGATCTCTCTACGTGTCTGAGTAACACGAGACCCGGTTTTGTGTTTCAGGCGGGTATGCTACACGGCGACCACGGCGAGTTCTGGCTGGAACCAGTCGCCGTGTCTCTGGAAGAAAAACGCGGCACGTTGTCGGCAGACGAAACGACGACGACCGACGACTTAGGCGCCGGTAATCGCTCGTCGGTATTAGGTGGCCCGATTGCCGGTCGACCTCATCTTGTCTTTCGACGCTCGGCCGAGCAACAACAGCAGCAGCTCGAGATCGGCGCCGGCGGTCGTAGCAAGCGACGGCGCAAAAAGAAGAGGAAGCAGGAGAGAAACTGCGGCACCCGCGGTGAGAACGGACCCCGACACCTTCTTCTTGCTCCTCTCTTTCGCCTTTCGCCTCTGCGCGCCCTACACCCGCGCGCTCGTTTTCTTCCGCGCACCCATTCCACACCTTCTCTCGCCGCTTGTTCTCTCTTTCTCTCTCCCTCTCTATCTCTCTCGTTTTCTCGGTCTCTCTTGTAATATGTATCGCATGTATTTATGTGTCTGCACGTATAATGTAATTGGACGCGCTGTGCTACGGCTACGTGGGCGTGTCATCGACGCCTTGTCTGTGCTTTATTTTTCGCCGACGATAATATCTGCACGAGGGAGGAGGAGAGAGGGATAGGAGGAGTGTGCAGTCTCGCACGAGGATATACCGAAGTACATACATAGCTTCGATATATAACAGCGTTTCCAACGTTTCTAACGGACATTTCCAACATCGTTCGCAGCGCAATAATATGTTGCCTCGTATCGGTGCGATTTTCTGCACAACAGGTGCAACATTTATGCAAAAGCTTTGAACATTCGTCGAATCTGAAAATTTGTCGCGATGCGAACGATGTTGCGCGAATCACGCTGATCAGCTCTAATTCGCTTCGGTGTACGAATCTCGAAATCACCGGCTCGTGTAGTCTTTGGCACAACTTCAACATACGATTTAATCGTTCGCCCTGGACGACCTCACATTTTAGCGGATTAAACCTGCACGAGCGCATCGATATAGCGAAGTAAGATCGCTCTGTTGATACGTTTCTCTATAGAAAGCGCCGTTGGCCACGAGAAGATAATCCAATTCAACGCAAACCCGTAATTAAATACAATGAGTATCCATTTCAGCCGGATATATCGGACGGACCAAATGAAATCTTAATTGCAGGCCTACAATCTGCCAATCTGCATAAATCAGTCGCCGCGTTAAAAATATTTTGCAAGTGTAGGGGCTCATTCTCCCGATCGATTGACACGGATTAGGCGTGTGCGTAATTCTCTGGCGCGCTTTTGAAATATAATTATATAACCTAAAGAGAAAAATCTAAACAGACGCGATAACAGCACAGATTTAGAGAGAAATTAGCCGGTACGTTGATCATGACAGCACGTGAAATATCCGACAGAACCGCGTCGATTGACAGAGACGCGGCTCGAATGGCAGACTCAACCGGGTCTCGTCCAAGTTCAAGGCCGCGGACGTAGGAAACATTACCAACCGAAACGGTGGCATCGTTCCAAGAGATCGATCAGTACACCTCGTCATGTCGAGGCTCTTGTTGTCGCCGACACCACGATGATGGCTTTTCATCAGGACGTTGACGTGGAGATCTACTTGCTGACTATCATGAACATGGTGTCCGCGCTGTACCTCGACCCAACCATCGGTAATTTCATCAACATTGTCGTGGTCAGAATTATTCTCGTCGAGGAAGAAGACGCGGAGGTATCTACGTTACGATTAAAAGCCGATCCGTATCGATTTCGCAATAAATGTTACTCGCGGAGCGATTCTTGAGAACGTTTCTGTTTTCCCAGTTGGACATCACGGTGAACGCGGACCAAACCTTGCACAATTTTTGCAAATGGCAACAGAAGTTAAATCCCGACGAGGACTCGCACCCGATTCACCACGACGTGGCGATTCTGGTGACGAGGGAAGACATTTGCTCGCGCGGGAATACCCCTTGCAGCACCTTGGGAGTGGCGCACGTTGCTGGCATGTGTCAACCGGATCGCAGCTGCAGCGTAAACGAGGACAATGGGATCACGTTGGCGCACACTATTACTCACGAATTGGGACACAAGTAAGCAATATACATCAGTGCACATGTCGATGAGAATCTTGAAATCTTTCGGGATAGAAAAAGGCGCAACAAAATGTTTAATATGCAGAATAAATGTCTGATCAAAAAATTTTGATGTATCTACGTGTATGGATTTTCAATAATTTTCGACGTTTGTTTCATTCAGTTTTGGAATGTATCACGACACGGAAAAAATTGGCTGCAGTAAGCGCGAAGGTGACACTCTGCACGTGATGACGCCGACCTTCGAGGTAGACGCTGTCGGAGTAGCTTGGTCCAGATGCTCCAGAAGAGATATCACGAATTTTTTAGAGTAATTCGAAGATAATTTAAAAAAAGAAAATCTCTCTCTGTAGCTTTTTCGATATTTCTCACGTGACAAAAGTAATATCTATTCCAGCCAAGGAAAGGGAGACTGTTTAGAAGACGAACCGGCGAACAACGACTACGTGTATCCGGATTTGCCGCCCGGTGCAATGTACAACGCCGAGCACCAATGCAAGTTGCAGTTTGGTTTGAGAGAAGCTTCCGTTTGCTCTCCGTTACAAGAGGTAACCACAGTAGATCGTCGATGGCGAATGACAAGTTTAAATTCTGACAAGTCGAGCAACTCGGATTTAAACGACCGCGCGCGGGGCGTTTATGATTTCAGATCTGTTCGAAACTCTGGTGCGTCGTGGACGGTTCCTGCACCACCATGCTGCATCCGGCAGCTCCGGGAACGCATTGCGGAAAACATATGGTACATCATTTTTCCTCTCAACAGCGATATTTTTTTAATAAAATATTTGTCAAGTGAAATATGTGCGAGACCGTTATTGTGATTTATTTTGACAAATAACATTCTCAGCGAAAAAATATGAAGGCGTATTGAAATTCTCTCAAGCACGTCACGTGTCGTTTTTCGCAGTGGTGTCAGAATCAAGAATGCGTTCCCATCGTCGATCGACCTCATGAGATTGACGGCGGATGGGGCGAATGGGGATCGTGGAGCGAGTGCTCGAGGACCTGCGGCGCCGGGGTTTCGATAGTCGAGAGGAAATGCGACCATCCGGAGCCAGCGCACGGCGGAAAGTTCTGCATCGGCGAGAGACGTCGTTACAAAATCTGCAACACGCAGCCCTGCCCGGAAGGCGCGTCGAGTTTCCGCGCTGTGCAATGCAGCAACTACGACGGAAAAGAGTACAAGGGAAAGAACTATACCTGGCTGCCGTATTTCGATCAGAGTGGGTAAACTTCCGAACGCGCGGCTCTTCGATATACACACACAGCGCGTATACATATTTAGCTCTTTCTCTCTTTAGTTTTACCAGTAGCTTTTCCAAATCGCGCGCGCGCGTTACCGTTTACCCGATACGCGACAACGAGAAATTGCAACTGCATGCGCCAACGTGAAATATAATTATCGAGTTATTCAATTTCCGATAGAAATTACGAGACGGGACGAACAAGCAGAAGCGTTCCCAATTATCGTCGTGGCTTAAACACCAATTACGACGCGAAATTTAATTTGCATCGTCTCATTTAGCGGAGCCGTGCGAGCTTTACTGCACCGACACGGAGGAAAGCGTAATCGTACCTTGGGGAGAGACGGCTCTCGACGGTACCCCGTGCAACGTTGGCACCAGGGACATGTGCATCGCTGGTATTTGCAGGGTCAGTGTTTTTCTTCGAAAAGCATTTTTTAGAAGCTCGAAGCTTTTTCCATTTTTTTATTCAAATCTCGGGAAACAAAAATTTCGAGAACTGAATAAATTTCAATTTTCAGAAAGTCGGTTGTGATTGGACGGTGGATTCGAACGCCACGGAAGACCGTTGCGGTATCTGTCACGGCGACGGTACTCAATGCGAGACAACCAGCGGTACTTACGACGAAAACGACGGTCCCGGATACAAGCTGGTCGTTATCATCCCGTTCGGCTCGCGTAACATTAAGATCGAGGAACTCGGCAACAGCAAGAATTACATCGGCATTGGCGTGCCGGATTCCGACAAGTTCTTCCTGAATGGAAAACGGTGCGTATACTTCAGATTGCAAGATCGTCAATAAATTACGACAAAAAAACTGTGAAAAAAAATAAACCAATGCAACCGAAGTTTTTTACACTGAGATTCTGATCAGGCAGACAGATCACTTTAGCGGGCGAGTACGAAGTCGCCGGGACGCCAGCTTTGTACGAACGCGATCGCGACAAAGAGAAGATCAGAATTCCAGGACCTATCAAGGAGGACATTGCGGTCTATGTGAGTAGATTCTCATTAAACAAAACGTAGTTTATTCAAAAGTGTTAAAACAATTTTATATTAATGTAGAAAAATTGTCGTATTATGTGAAATAATTTTTACGAAATAATTTCTCGTGGATTTTTATTTCGACCGTCATTATCAATAATCTAGCTCCATCATCTCAGTCAATTTACAGAGGTCACTATCGCAATTTCGGACTGCATTACGAATACACCGTTCCGAAAAAGGAACCTGACCGAGCGCCGGAATACTCTTGGGTACCTTCCGATTGGACTTTGTGTACAGTCACTTGCGGCGGCGGTACTCAAACTTCACACGCAGTCTGTCACGAGAAGAAGAGTGGCGTCGTCGAGGACCACTTCTGCGACGGCATAGAGAAACCAGAGCCGAAGTTGCGCGAATGCAATTCGAATCCGTGCCCGGCAAAGTAAGCCAACTTGGAATTCCGTAAAACGTTCGTGACGACGAACTTCGAGAAACTGAAATGAATTCAAAGCAAGTTGGACGAGATTTTCCTGCTTGATTTTCAATCGCCATCTTTTATGCATTTTCGCTTTAGTATTTTAGTATTAGAGATCACATACACGTAAAAATTTTCTAAATAATTTCAAGAGACAAAGTTTATAATTCTCCATTGTTCTCGTGTGGATGCGACATTTGCGCGAGAAAGTTTTCAAAATTGCGTATAAATATGACGTAAGATAAACTGGCATTCAAGTAAGAGCGATGGAGAAGTAAAAAATATGAAAAACTTATTTTCCCCCCGTTTTAGTTGGTGGGTAGGACCGTGGCAGATGTGTCCTGTTACATGCGGCGATGACGCGCTGCGTAAGAGATCGGTGATGTGCGTGTCGACTGGCGCGGGACCCAATCGATCGGACTTGGCTCTGCTTGATCGCGAGTGCGACAAAAACACGCGGCCCGAAGAAGTACAATTGTGCCCTGATCTACCGCCGTGCGGATCCACGGAAGCGCCGCTAATTGTGTACGCCGACAACAAGGACAACAAGGACACGTTCTACAATATCAGCTTGAACGAGCAAGACGGTATTACGATGGTTGACGGTCTCACCACTGAGGAGCCGGAAATCCTCGAGTTCGACAACGTCGTCGACGAGAATCCGGACAATTCTATGTACAACACTAAATCGAAGTGGACAGTATCGAAGTGGAGCCATTGCACAGGCGGCAAAAGGAGCAGGAAGGTCAGTTGTTCCGTACCGGGTGACTGTAATCCGGATAACAAGCCGGTCAGTGTCGAGGACTGTTACAGCGGAAAGTGGGTCACTGGTGAGTTACTAATAATTTCGAACAATGTGTCGCACGATGTTCCTTCGTCTACGGAAAATTACGCAAAAAGTATTATTTTCACAAAAATTGACACAAATGGTTTTTGATCATTACATCGATTATGATTCCAGGGAATTGGGGAAGTTGCAACGCAACCTGTCTCGCAAAATCAGGTATTAAGCATAGAGTAGTGCAGTGTCGCGATCGCGCGACAAACTTGCTGTCGGATGACTGCAATCTCAACAGAAGACCGTTTGACACGAAGCGCTGTTATTATCGACGACAATGCGTCAACGAGAAAAAAGGTTAATTACGTTTGCACAATTAAAATTTGTCTTTTTAAAGGAGCAATAATTAAACGACAGCATTGAGTTGAATTTAAAAAAAATAACTAATAGAAAATCAAAGATAACAAAAATATTTGCAAAGTTATCTTCGCGTTTTTCTCACGAAGTTCTTTTACGTGACATTAATACGAATGATGCAACTTCTCGCGCGCGACATTCAAAAGTTTAGCATTTGTCGCGCCATCGTTTTAAGTGATGTTGAATGGAAGTTTGAGGCAATCTAACGGAGTTGTAACTGCGGGAGAATTAGAGAATGTAGTCGCGTGTAATGGTAAGTTATGCTATGTACATTACAGAGTGTTTGGCTTGTCCGAAGTTGCGGAATATGCCTTTGTCCGAAGGCGGAAAACTAGAATTTATACGAGGAAACCGCGGCTCGTAACGACTTGGTTTATGAGATCATACGCGACGTCGCTCGATTTGCATACGCGTATGATACATCTCCAACTCGCGCGCGCATATAAATACTTATTAGAAAGCACTCCAACTCGCGGTAACAAATATCGTATGCATCTAGTCTATGTTCAACGCGCGCGTTGATTCCGATAAGTTTCACAGAAACAGTTACACGTCAAATATTGAATTACATTTGATTTTAAATTCGTCGCTTGTATTAATAATGTCGATTTCTTTTCTACAATTCTTTTCTATACAAAATTTTATACGTTTGAAAATTTAGGAAGCATTTTAAAACGTCACAAAATTTTAATATCTATATCAACATTGAGATCGTTCTTGCTTGCAACCAGTGAGTTTATTTATATCTTTCCCCTTCGAGACTTACATAAATAAATATGTTTGCCCGGGCGAACAATCGTATTTCATACATATCTGTGTATCTTTATATATAACTTCATCTTTTTCAGATTGCAGAGATAGTGTAGTCGCGTGCGCTACGCCACACTACAGGCGCATGTGTGACATATCGCCGACTATACGACAAAAGTGTTGCGCCACGTGCATAAAACGACAGCGACACGTTCGTCACAACAGACGTAATATCTTTGCCGAATAACAAGTTGAAAAGTTGAAGAGTTGAAAAAGACGGGAAAGAACGCACAAAAGCATTTTACAAATAAATATATTTGCAACGGACACATCCGTCTTGTCTTGTGCATTTTATCCGAATTATGATAACAACATAGATGGAACTTTTTATGTATATGGCAACGAGAAGATAGAAAACACGCGACAGAGGTGATATTAAGAGATTATATTTGTAACTTTGTACTACCGCGTATATATATATATATATATATATATATATATATGTATATATATATAAATAATATATGTATATTTTGTATTGAGATGTAACCGTAGAGAGAAAGAGTGACACTACTTGCATCACGTCATTTATCAATCCGTCTTGTTGAGATACTAATTTTTTCTTAATTGTTGCGCCAAAACCATATATATTTATGAGATGTGCGATATTTTAATACACGACAAATATTCGAAAGATACTAACATAAAATATATACAAAACTAATATTTTGTTACAAAAGTTTATTTACATGATATGCATTAAAAATAATAATTTCTTCTTTTCATTAAAAATGTTACCTAACATATTTTGTCTTTTTTTTTATATTTTCTAATAATCTTCTCAAGTGGTAAATTTAGAATAATAAAAAACTTTTTGATATAATTTAACACAAGAAAACTTAATAATAAATTACTTTAAGACTTGTATTTTAAGACGTCATATTTTTCATTTATATCTAGCGACTATACACAAACAATTTTGTATTTAAGTACGCTTGATGTAAAAATGTTCGTAAAAAATATATTTATAAACCATTTATAATAATGTGAAATTTGTTTTCTCTGTCAAAAAGCTGTCAATTTACTCATCTAACATTATAACAATAACAAATGGAATAAATTTACATAAAACAGTTAATGTTTTTGTACGGTGCAACATTTTTAAAAAAACTCTCACTAATTTATGTTAAAATATTATTTTTTGTCCAAAATAAAGTTCCTTTGTTCTCCCAAAACGGAAAATATGACTTACAGCGAGAATGCAGTTAATATATTACTTTAAGAAGACTGCACTTACTTGGTTAAGCACTCTATCTTGTTTCGCAGACACATTGCACCACTGTCAAAAGTTTGTTGTTCAAATCGTTGTGAAGCTGCAGCAATGAAGGAGCGCGACATTTTGTTTCCTGCGCACGGTTCGCGGAAACACGCTCGAGTTCGCTTTCGCGCTTAACCATTTCACTACACGAGATACTTGCATTCTCTTGCTGACTATCATTAATGAATGCGCGGAATGTTAATTATTATACACCACAACGAACGCCCGATACTTCACGACACTACACGTACGATTGATATTCGCGCGCGAGACAACAATAATCGCGAGAAATACGAGACACTTTAAACGTAGTTCCTGCACGCGTCGCGCGTCGGCCATGATTGACCGCCAATCCGAATATATCGAAGTGCGATATTGCGATTCTCGATATATCGAAATGCGATATTGCGATTCGATATCTCGAGAATCGCAATATCGCATTTCGATATATCGAGCGCGCAGCGGCTACGTAGTTCGCAAACTGCGCACATTGAGGCGCTCAAGAGCAACACACTAAAAAGCGTCTACACACATACACGTATGTACGTACACTGTACACAAAATGCACACATACACTTATACGTTCCATTCATAAATCGACCACATAACCTCTCTGCTTGATTTTGTTTTGACAGCTCGTGTATAATATTTTTTCCGTTTTTCTAATCCGAGATACGATTGTGATCAATCATGAATATCATTTTCCGTCCGTTGAAAAGCATGTAAACGCACAATGGAATAATGTTTATTTCTTGTTGTATAATATTTCGTAAAATATGTCCGCAATTATAGATGACAAGGTTGTCGCAGGTGCGAAGAGTTCAAATACTGTGAAGGAAGATCCGATAGTAGCATTAACTGTACGTAAAGTCGCTATAAACTTCTTCGCATACCTATCTTGTATTTTTCGTGCTGCGTTTGATTAGCGTCGAATGTGACACACTTCTTCTTATTTGCACTGTCAATTTCAGGAAAGAGTTGAAGCTTTGTATCTCTTTCGAGATCAGTATTTCGAAACTCATTCCATCAATGAAGCAATAAACAGACGCAATGACGTTGAGAAAGAGATGAAGGATGCTCTGAGCAAGTTCGACGAGTGCAAGGGATACGAGATCGATGGCTCGCGTGCTAAATATTATTATCTAAAGGGAAGAGCTCTGAATGTTATGGATCGCTTTAGTTCGCAGGCGGAAGAACTTTTAAGCAAAGCTGTGAAACTAGAGCCTAATTTAATAGAAGCGTGGAACGAATTAGGGGAATGTTATTGGAAAAATAATGATATAAAACAAGCAAAAAATTGTTTCGTCGGTGCTCTGCAATATGTATGTTTTCTCTACCTCCGTCTGTGTTTACAAAAATCTTTGATTAGGGATTGTTTGCAATATATATGTTTTTTTTTCAATAGGATAGAAATAAAGTGTCTTTACGAAATTTGTCAATGGTACTTAGACAAGAAGCGTCACCATCTGTTGCACAACGAATAAAAAATATTCAGGAAGGAATGGAATATGCGAAAGAGGCTGTAAAGCTTGATACATCTGATGGAGCCTCATGGGTCATATTAGGAAATAGTTACTTGGCTTCCTTTTTCACAATAGCACAAAGTCCAGCCACCTTGCGTCTTTGCATGTCAGCATATATGCAAGCAGTAAGTATGAATGGTAGATATTTGAATACTGTATATATGTACAAGTATTATTGTATATACAAGAAGCAATTGATAAGTAACCAGAAACTATGCAGATAGCGACAGTAGTATCAGATTGCTGTTATTAATAAGTTTTATTCTTGCACGTAGTGTTTGTGTAACAGCTCGTCAAAGTAGTAATTTTTGTAAGCAGAGAAAGAACCGAGATCTATTGAATTCTATGTTTTGAAAGAGAAAACGGCTACACAGATCATTGGATGCAGGTTTTAGAGACTTTTTTTTTCAATGGTATATGAGTTACTGATTTTAAATGTAATTGAACGAGCTGTGAGAGAGAAAGAGGAAAAACACATTACAGTGGATGCCAAAAATCGATCGATGTCGTAAATAGCTATTTTCAAGAGCTTGAGATAGTTTTACCGAAGTAGTATGAATGCTCTCGAGAAACGCTCAAAGTGCATTGAGATAAAAGGCAATTAAAAATAAAAAATAAATAATTTTGATCAATTATTATTTATCTTTACAACTCGATAAATTGTTATTTATGTTTTTTTCGAATACTTATCAATCGCTTCTTGGAAAACGCGAGTATTCACACAAATTGAAATTCTAACGTTTTTGTAGGAAAAAGATATGGTTGCAAAAAGTTTTCCTCATTTATTTTATAACAAGGCGATAGTAAGTATCACGTATCGTTTTATATGTACATCCTCGTAATGTTGAGCAGTTTTACTTAGTATTTAAATTGTTTAATTTTTTTTTTTTTTGAGGTTTTAAAATATCAAGAAGAATATGATTTGGCATTACAAGCGTTTGAACGTGCGATAGCACTGGACCCTTTGTGGAAACAACCGGACTACAAACGAGACGATTTACTACAATATCTTAAAAATATACAAACCTCAATTAACAATAATGGAAATATGAAACCGAAACAATTACACCGATTGATACGGGTACTTATAATGAGAAAATTTAATATAAAGACTAATATAGTTAATAAATTACTAATAAAATTAATAATATATGATTTTGGCATAATATACACATTTATAGATTTATGGTTGAATGTAGGCATTGGATGTTAAACACTTAGGACCTTACAAAGAAGGATCGTACACATGTGGAGGAACAACTACGAAATTAAGTCTAATACCATTAAAAGAATTGGTTCTTGGAGTAAACACAGAAAAAGTTATATTTGGTAAAGTAGTTTGTTGGATGCAAGATTCAGATTGTGTCCCATTGTAAGTATTTGTCTACCGTTGTATGTAGAACAAATGTTATTTTTCCTCTTGAAAACTTTTCTAGCTAACCAAAACGCTAAAATCATTGTTTTCATGCAGCACATTTTGTCTCGTGGACGAACACAAGACCTGTATTATTGTTACTGTATATAATTTAGCTAAAGGCCGAGGAGTCACGGTCGGGGATTCTGTTGGGATACCCGAACCATTCGTATTACATCACAAGTTCTCGTACATGGATAACGTTAGTATCATGTCATATATTGTCATGTACATACGTCACATGAATGTTTACGTTCGTTCTTTTCCAGAATTTCGATTTCAAATCTATTCGCGTTGAAACCCCAGCTGTACTTGTGATTAACGGGAAAAAGTTGGATCGAGAACAGCAAGTCGGTGCAAATCTGCAAACTTTTAAACAGCCGGATTAAGTCTGATAAACAATTTATGTTGACTGAATGTATTAGATTGTATAATTGTAGGTGATTTTTCACTGTATCCTTTTATTTTGTTTTAATAACACCAGAGGTGATAACAATCGAAACTCATTAGCATATTTAATAGTTGTTTAAGTATATTGTGATAAATGAATTTTTTAAAATGATATATTTTGAACTGTTAAAAATATCGGCAATCAAAACTAGTACTCTAGAATACACATCGTACAATGTCATTTTTGTAACAATGTACAAAAAACAATATCCACAAATATGCACACTTAAGCCGTCGCGTTTATAAATTGTTTAGTTCATAAATTTCACACAAAAGAAGTACTGGCACAGTTTTTTAGTGCAGTAGAAATTGTAAACTTAAAAAAATAGTAAACTTATTGTCTGCCAATTTATAGAGCTTTAAAACTTCGGCTACACATTTTCTACATTTTAATTCGTAACTGTAAAGTTTCGTACTATTTGTACAAATATTGTTTAATAAAACTTGTCACAAATACATTTGTGTGTAAAAATAATTAATAGAAAATAAAAGATTCTACAATAGTTTTGTTTGAATATATGTATATAATTATACACATTATCAGCCATATTGATTAGTGTACTGAATAGCGTAATATGCTTGTAATAGCTTTTAAATAATGTAATGTGGTTGTAATATCTTTTTTCTCTTACATATCACGACGAAATAAAAAATTATTTGTTCCGAACATTTACAACTCAAAATGTTAAAGCAGAACAAAGATTATTGAATACAGAGAATATCTGTTTGTTGTCTATAATAAAGAGAGAAGATAAATTTACATAACAATAGCGATGTGGCATTTTGTAAACACTTTTTCGAGTCTGTATCTTTATTGTATATATTGAAAAAAATATTTTGTGTATTACGTTTTCGGAACTTATTCTACTGGACAAGATATACTTTTCATTTAGAGATATATATAAATCTTGTGTATATATATGTATGAATTTAAAATATCGTATTATATTTTTTGCTCTCTCTCTCTCTCTCTCTCTCTCTCTCTACACACAAGGTCGCAGTTATAATCGTTGCAATCCTTTCGAAAAAAAAAAGAGGAATGCTCTCTGTTCAATCTATATTTTTCCATAGAAAAGTGAAATTGCGCATATAAAAAGATCTGATTAAATTGTATGTGTGTCTAAAATATACTTCTTTTTGTACATCAGTAACTCCACGCCGAGTAGAGAATCTATTATATATATATATATATATATATATATATATA